ACCTAGTACTACCACTGCCGGTACCACTTCTACTTGCACTACCACTTCTACAACTTTATTAGTTCCTCCACTACAACCTTCATTATTAAAATAAATTAAAATCTTGGCTTAATGTTTCACGATTTATTTAACAATATGTATAGTCAACATGTTTCGAGCGTTAGCTCATTTTCAAGACTGATATTGTAATGACGATATTGTTAAATAAATCGTGAAACATTAAGCCAAGAGTTTAATTTATTTTAATATTCAATTATGTTTCACCAAGAGTTAAGCGAGAATTCAATCTCATTAATACAACCTTCATTTCCAGCATCACTGGTATTTCCACCACTACTACCACTACCACTAATACTACCACTGTCACTACCACTGCCAGTACAACTTATACTACCATATCCACTACCACTGACACTACCAAGACAACTACAATACCATATATATATATATATATATATATATATATATATATATATATATATATATATATATATATATATATATATATCTACTGAAATAAACAAGGTAATGTTGTTTTCTCCTACACTGCACATTACTACTTGGGGATAATATTATAAACAATGGGCTGCTTCTCTACTACAATCATTTTATCCACGTGCTGTCTGTTTTTCAATGAAATAAGTCTTATAGTGTTGGCTTTTACTTGATGTAAATCCATTATAATTGAATATAAACTTAAATTCAAACACTTGAACTTATGATTTACACTTTATTGACTACATAGCATGACGCGTTTCGTCGTTACAAACGACTTCTTCAGATGCTTACAAAATAACCTGTAATTATTTATCTGTTTATATCTTTAATCAATTAATTATTTATCTGTATATCCGTTTCTAACGACGAAACGCGTCATGCTATGTTGTCAATAAAGAGTAAATCATAAGTTCAAGTGTTCGAATTCAAGTTTATATTCAAATAAGTCTTATAATTTATATGAATCTGCTATTAGAAGAAGTGGATAAACGTAACAAAAATTGAAAATTAACATAATATATTTCTTTTCTTGACAATTACAATCATGCATTACATCCTTTATCATTTTCACAATCTATCAAATCCATGTGCGACCCCCTTTAAAATAATATGTTATCAATAATGTTCACACAATATTCACATTCTATTTTTTCTAGGTCTTCAAATGAGATTGATGTCTAAATTAGATCTTGAAGAAACTGAAGTAACGGATAATGACAGTCCAAGTATAATGAATCTTCTGAAAGATAAGAAGACTATGATTGTTGCTTCTGCTATATGCGTGAGTACCACCACTATGGCGGTCTTAGAACCATGTGTACCAATTTGGTTACTTGGTCACTTTCAACCACCGCCTTCAAAGTGGGTACTTGGTGCTGTATTCATACCTGACAGTATAGGTTACTTCTTGGGGTCACATTTTGGAGGTGAGGGACAACTGTTCATCTTCACTCAATTATAATGCTAACCAAATATTCGGAGATTCATCTTATACATATACTATGTTACTTTTTATGTAAGAAAGTTGTGTTTATCTACTTATGAATATTGTTGTCGATGGATAATTCTTCTTGTCAAATAATCACCTTCAGCTTCAGTCGTAGCTCAGAAGTGAAAGTGAAAGTCCACCACTAAGGTGATCACGGTTCCAATCTTAAGATATGGACACTTGTAATGGACAATGAGTTTGAATAGTTATAACAATGATGATAAATTTTTAATTTACAAGCCTAAATAAAGGAAGATAACACATTTATGACATATATTTAAAAAAAATACCGTCTTGATAACAAAGATGATATTGTAAGAAGAACATCCAAAATCATGCCTATTATGTTACATTTTTTTTAGAGGAACTGATAATGAGCTCAAATATGACTGAAGACATAAGTACATATTTGAAATCTCCTAGAGACATATATCTGGATGACAGATATCTTTAGGATATTTAAAACGAATATAGTTTCAAACCCAAAGAACCCAAAGAAATTTTTATGTGATTATCATTTTCTCGAACTTTGATAATACTTACCACTAGTTCCTTTAATGTATCAATATAAGTTATTTCACCACAGGTCTTCTTCCCATCGATACCTGGAGGGCAGCTTTGATAGCCATGGTTATAGGGGGCTTGAGTGCCTGTGCCATTCCTATGGTGACCCAAATATCCGAACTTTTCCTTCCACATTTTGGAATAGGAGTTAGTGTAGGGGTTGTCGACGCTATTTTAGTCCCATATATGGCTACTATAATAGATGAAAAAGGTTGCACTAAATATGGACCTGTATATGCGCTTCAACAAGTAGCTGTTAGCTTGGCTTATTTTGTGGGACCACTGATAGGTGGAGAGTTAGTTTATCTTATTGGGTTTGCTTGGCTTATGAGAATAGTTGGGTTGGTGAATATTGGATTTTGTCCGTTGCTTGTGGAATTAGAAGAAGAAAACGATGAAAAGGTAAGATATGTACTTATTCTTTCTAATTCAATTTGAATATTAGTGTTATTAAATTATAATGTAGAGCGTATTTGAATGATTTAAATTTTTTGTTGTTGTTTCAAACTGAAACCTGTATGCTTCTTGGAATACATTTTTTCTGTTGTTAAACTTGAATTGAGGTTTAGTCATGTTTTTACTGATGAATTGATTAATAACTATTTTAATATGAATTTATATCAAGTGAAGCTAACTTCGCTTCGATGTGTCAGCATGTATGTTTTGTAGCGTATTTATTTGGCCTTGTTTTAGGGAAAAATCAGCCATCCACCTGGATATTCTACTTGCAGTAGCTATTCTAGTTTAGATGATGACTCAAGAGCTGAAGACTATGAAGTATTAAAAGAATAATTAGGTGATAATTATGTAATAATAAAAAATATGAAGTTTACTGAACATTTGCTAATTTCTTGGCGAAACTTGGCAAAATAAATAGAACTGTATTGTTCTTGTCAGTTTTTTCGGGGCATTACCCCATTTTCAAAAGTTAAACTGACCCTTAAATATGTATGAAACTCTATTTGACAATTTTGTAATTTTATTAGTGTATTTTTTCCATTTATTTGAAAATATCATCTACGTACTTCTCTTTATTTTTTGTTAGTTGGTCAAATCTTAGTTTCTATTATTTTTTCAAATGGGTGAATAGAAGGATTACAATGTTGAAATTTTAGGTATTTAAATTTAGATACATGAAAATATACGAGGGTGGGGTGAAAATTTCCGGTCTGACCAAGAGATGGCGTCACTAAGTCTACTTTTGGATTGGCGTCCTGCCATATCATTCATACTGAGCTTGTATGTAAAGATTCAGACCAATCGCTACGTTAGTTTGCGTTTGAGAGCACATTCAGCACATATACAAAATGGAAAAATTGGAGAAACTTGAAAGATTTTACACCAAAACATATAAAAAAAGAGATTGATTCAACACTAGGTGACTCCTCCCCATCATAAAACTACTCGTATTAAGCAGTTGGTTTCTGAATTAAAAATGGGTCGTGTGAGCAGAGCCCCTAAGATGGCCCGTTAGAAAATCCATGTAATCAGAAAGTGCAAGTCAGCTGCGAAATATTTTGCACAACCATTTGAGCATGGAAAAGCTGTGTGCAAGATGGGTGCCGAGTTTGCTAACACAAACTGATTCGGAAAAACATTTCTACCTAAAATTTGGCGCTGTATAGGCATAATCCAAAGGAATGATTGCGTCTATTCATAACTGTTGATGAGACTTGGGTTCACCACTACACTCCTGAAAATAAAGAACAGTCAAAACGGTGGGTTGGAAAGGGGAACCAACTCCAAAGAATGCAGAAACAATTTTATCGGCAAACAAAGTAATGACTACTGTTTTGTGGGATGCTAGAAGAATTATATACATTGCTTATCATGAAAAGGGTGAGACTATCACTGGTCAATACTACGCATACTTATTGCAACGTTTCAAGGACGTGGTGCAAATTAAACGACATCATTTGTCGAAAAAAAAAATTTTGTTTCATCTCGATAACGCACCAGTGCATTCGTCGATTGTTGCCATGTCCAAAATCCACGAATTGAAGTTTGAAATGATGACTTAGCCCCCAGCGAAAATTATCTGTTTCCCCACCTGAAAAAATGACTTGGCGGTAAAAGATTTGGGAGCAACGAATAAGTTACCGAAACTATAAATAAGTATTTTGAGGAGCTTGACGAATCTACGTTTAAAACTGGTATAACTAAATTAGAACACCATTATGAGAAATGTATCAGTGTTAATGGAGATTATGTTGATAAATAAAGACATCGTTTTTTTATGTCATGCCGGAAACTTTCACCCTACCCTCGTACATCAGATCAATCTTTTATGTTAGAAATAAACTTAAGTGTGAATGAAAAAATTGAAATGAAATTAAAAGTGGAATTTGATAAGCAAATTTCAACAGAAAGACTGACGACACTTTTATCTCAAGTCTCGAGAATTTGAAAAATAAAATGGGGGTTTTCTACGGATTTTCACTTCGATGAGTAACTACCCCTAGGGAATGCAGTTATTTCCCCAATGACGCGCTCGATTTATATTACCAACCCTTGATGCGTTTTAACCTGATAGCTTTGTTTAGATAGTAAGTTAAGAAGGATGTTCTGGTGTTTATTTACCATTTAGGACATTCATACTGATCGAAAGTAAAGAGAAAATCAGATTCTGGATAAATCTAATTGAACATCGTGTTGAAGAGAATTGCTGCCAGGGTTTTGTACGAAGAATTCGTGATGAGATCAAGCAATCAATCAATACAAGATTTCGAAGTGTGTGTTTCGGATTGGATATCTTCGAATTTTTTTATTGAGGGTATAAAATCGAAAGAATTTTTCATTAAGGAATATATCCAAAGCTTTTGAAAATGAAGTTATATATTTTGAAAGAAAATAAATGAGTGAGTACTTTTAAGTTTCAATTTGTTAACCTATTTCAGTTATATTATAATACGTTTAGATATACCTTTGCTAAAAATTGCTGTGAATAAAAAGGCTCGTGTAGGATTTGAACCTACGACCGCCACTAGACATTTATGGAGTGTGGAGCTCTAACCAACTAAGCTAACGAGCCGTTAACTTTTATTTGGTTTTAAGAAGAACTAAACTGCAAATTTGCATAACAAGTTTTCCCATAATTCATAATTTCTTTAACTGCTTGATATTTGGTTATGTTGAAGAGTATGAGCATCTCACTCATATTTAGTTATTAGTACAGTATCTTCTCTAAAGAATACTACAAGGCTAACCAGTCTGTAGCTAAGTAGTTCCCAACAATACATTTATAAATATAATACCAATAGATTCGACACCGATTACATTCATATCTGGAAAAATCCTCTATCTGAAATACAACAAAAACGTTTGAAGCGTTCAGTAGCGAGACTGCCATATACATTTATTTCAGATGAGTTTATTTAACCACGAATTTGTAATAAAGATCTGTTTTGTTTATGAATTAGTAAAATGTTGAGGTTCCTCTAAGCTTTCTCTAGTCAGCATTGTGGCGCCCTCTTCTATCAAATTTAGATATTACTCACTGTTGCGTCAGATTTGATAAATGTTGAAATAATTCACACTGTTTGAACTGATAATGAATATAAACTGAAATTTACTGACATAATATATAAACATTATATGTATATGTAATTATACATTGTGTTAAAATATTGAGAATAAAATGGGAAGGACTAGATTCTTGTAGATTTACACATTTCTCTTTGACAATTGCAACGTACGTGTCACAATTTTTACAATAAAAAATGAAATCTAATAAACAATGTTATTACTGCCGTTTTATTTCTGAAATAGATTTACATCAAATAATGGCAAGTTTCTCATCATTAAAATTTAGAGTAGGTATATTTTCTTACGTAATCAGAAAATCAATTGAAAACTTGCTATAATGACAATAATTCTGTGGATAAAATGCCGTACCAACACAAATGATTCGTTTTGGCCACTTGAAATTAATTTTTCAGTATACTATTATATCGCTTCGTTTACAAAGAGTAGTGGCATCTATTATGAATAAGCATTACATTCATTTCAAATCGAAATCGTATAATGGAAATCTGATAACAAGCAAATATCAGTTTCCAAGGCATTCACAATCATTATATGAAACTGAAAATATGGAATCTAAAGCCAAGAAGAAGACTGGTGAAAATGAAAAATGTTCAGTTTTTCGAAGCTTTTTCAGAGAATTTTTAAACACAAGTACAATTCATGGTTTCAATCATTTAGGTATGTTCCCAAACTATTCTTTCACAAATGATTCAGATTATTAATTAAAAAAATTCATTTTTTATTCAATTGACAATGTATTGTGTATAATTTGTCTTTAATGAAGGGTATTACTCAACAATTTCTTTGTTGAATTATACAGAAAAATATTTTATACACGTATTAATTTTATTTCATAATAGAAATAAGGAGAATATATAGATATAATATATTTTTTATATTTATTAGTGTTGGCGTTTACTTGATGTAAATCCATTATATTTGAACTTGAACTTATGATTTACACTTTATTGACAACATAGCATGACGCGTTTCGTCGTTATAAACGACTTCTTCAGATGCTTCATTATTTTGTAAGCATCTGAAGAAGTCTTTTGTAACGACGAAACGCGTCATGCCATGTAGTGAATAAAGTGTAAATCATAAGTTAAAGTGTTTGAATTTAAGTTTATATTCAATTAGGATATGAACTACTACAAATGTTTCAAAATACAAAGTATTTCAAAAATAATGTGAAACCTTATTCTGGACGATTAGTGATTTAATTTCAACACAAGACTTTAAATTAGAAGATATTTGAGATAGGATGTTTGTTTTTTGCATTGGTTTTGGATCTGACATAGAAATTGTTGTCAATATACCACAGACCAATTAGAATAAGAATGTTTGTACCTAAGTCAAATGTTATGGTCGAAGTAAATTTCACTCACAACAATCTCATTTTTACAATAAAATCAAAAGATCTTATCTTATGAATAGCAACGCCTAACATACATATTTATAAAAATTATACTAATTTGAAATGAAAACAGCAATTCTAGGTAATTTGGAACAAACCCCTTGAAGCTAAAATCCTCGTTGATCTGGAATAATTTTTTTCAGTCTGTTTCACTGGAATTTAAAGGCGTTCAATCACTCCGCAAATTCAATGAACTATGATGCACTCTTGTTCATTCTTTTCCTTTTGACACTTTGTTTGGGTGTGTTCAGAAATGAATGGTTATAAATTGAAAAGAGTGATAGCGAAAACACAGAATAATATATTATAGAACACAGCAACTTATCCGTGTGAGCTTGCTGAATTGCGGAATAATTTGTGAAATAATTATATTTAATGTCAATGAAATATGTAAAGTAGTGTCATTGAATACAATGAAATGCACGTATAGTAGTCATTGTTTTAACTTTTTTTGTTTACTTATTGAATATCAGCCAGACTTGAATACTCATTTCATGGAAATTTTGAATAGGTGATTCCACGACATACTTGATTGGAAAAATTTTGTGGTTTTCTCTGGTAATATGTGCTATCTACGGATCTGTAACATTGAGTTCCATAACGTTGACTAGGTATTACGAAAATCCCACTGTAATATCAATGGAAAGAGACCGATTTTCATGGAATACGTCTTTCCCTGCAGCAACCATTTGTACCGAATCAAAATATGACGAAAATACTCTTAGAAAATTACGTGGAAAACTCAAATGCCCCAAACAAAACATTATTTAAGAGTTTTCTAATTTCGTTGATGGAAGCTAATTATCAAAATTTCGAAGATCTAGTTGATTATACTAACGGTATCAAACCCGAAGAGTATTTGGATGTAATTTTAAAGTTGAAATTGAGGTTAAATCCGTCGGATATTTCAAATTCAGCTGGAAATCGTAAAGTGAATTATTTAACTGAAGTAGTATCAGAGATGGGAATATGTTATTGTTTTAATTCTCACTTGGCGATCTATAATTCAGCAGGGTAAGTTTATACAAATCTATTTCATTATTTTTAAGGCCAATCTTATGTTTTAGATACTGGAAAAGCGGAAAATGGAATTTATTGGAAGCAAACGAAACTTTGTTTGTCAACCCTTTGGACGGAGAAGTTTTTGCAAATGTCATGAACATTTCCAGTGGATTTGACGTAAGATATATCCAAATTTTAATCGACGTCATCATAGAAATTAAGAAAATCGTCCATAGAAATTAATAACATAATTCGACACATAGACATCATGTCCTAGTTATTTGCCACAAAATTGAGCCGTTATTTATATAATATTTCCATGCAATAATGCGATTATATGCAATAATTTATTGTTTTTGCGGACTCCTCATGAACAGATATTACTCCAATATAGTTCAAATTATGAAAGAAACTTCGAATGATGAAAGTAAAAATTAATGAAATTTACCATAGAAATCAATAACTACTAGAGTGGGGTAAAAAGTTTCCCATCTGACCAAGAAAAACGATGTTCTAAAATTTTTTGCTTTATTTTCCAACGTAATCTCCAGCAACACTGATACATTTTTCATAACAGTGTTCTAATTTAGTTATACCACTTTTAAACGCAGATTCGTCAAGGTCCTCAAAACACAGATTTATAGATTCGATAATTTCTTCGAGGTTGGGAAAAAGGTATTAGTCGCTGTGGCTAAGTCTAGAGAGTAGGGAGTATGCAGCAACACTTCAAACTTCAATTCGTTGATTTTGGACATGGCAACAATCGACCAATGCTCTGGTGCGTTATCGTGTTAAAACTATTTTCTTCGCCAAATGAGGTCGTTTAAATTGCACCTCGTCCTTCAAACGTTGCGATAAGTCTGCGTACTGTTGACCAGTGATAGTCTTACCCTTTTCAAGATAGTCAATGCATTGAATTCCTCTCGCATTCCAAAAAACAGTAGCCATAACCTTGTTTGCCAATGAAAATTTATTTGCCTTCTTTAGAGTTGGTTCCCCTTTCCAACCCACAGTTTTGACTATTCTTTATTTTTAATATGCAAATTTTTGAGAGCAATATGCTCTCAAACGCAAACTAGCGTAGCGATTGGGCTGAAACTTTACATACAAGCTCAAAATGAATGATATTGTAGGACGCCGCTCCAAATGTAGACCTAGTGGCACCATCTCTTGGTCGTATAATCGATACATAGAAGAATATGTCCTTGTTATTAGACACCGAATTGAGTCAGGTCTACGAACCCTATTATATCCACAAAGATTTCCATCATACTTGTGACAAAAATTGATGATAACTGTACAATAACTCAATATTTTTAATAATTCAATATAACACAAGAAATTTCGTTGATCACTTTACTGCATATAAAGCAGTTTCCTTTAAAGACAAGATATGATTATAGACAAATCTCTGTTGAAACCTTCAGTACTTTTTATGATTTACAAAAGAGCAAACTTTAAATATTCATAATATGAAGGTAGATAATTATGAAAATAATGAAAAAAGGGTATGAAAAGAAAGTAACGTTTTCTTTATCGTTAATGAAACGTCTGAGGACTTAAATAGGCAAGTAATAAGTTTCGATACTTTGTTACTCATTTCTAGATGAATTATAGGTCAATATTAGATTCTTTTGAATATAAACTTAAATTCAAACACTTGAACTTGAATGATTTACACTTTATTGACTACATAGCATGACGCGTTTCGTCGTTACAAACGACTTAAAACGCGTCAAACGACAATAAAGTGTAAATCATAAGTTCAAGTGTTTGAATTTAAGTTTATATAATATATTCAATTATAATGGATTTACATCAAGTAAACGCCAACACTATTAAATAAATAAAAAAAATTAGACTCTTTGCTTTATTTTTCAGATTTACATTCACGGGCCTTACGAAATGGCAGATATAGCTACAAAAAAGACACATTCGGAAAATGGTTACTTCTTACAACTTTATTTGAATGGAATAACGTTATTTAGCAGCGAGAAAGTGCGTGGATTGAGGGTGAGCCAAAGGAAATGTAGATTTTATGACGAGAGTGACTTGAAACATTCTCCAGTTTATTCTTACGTCTTATG